GGACACTCTTGTGGGACACTCTTGTAGGACACTCTTGTGGGACACTCCTGTAGGGCACACTCTTCGTACGAGACTTCCTCCAAAAGTCACGCTGCGAGGCTGCAAGACGAGCGTTTCGTACGAGACTTCCTCCAAAAGTCACACGTCAAGTCTCAAAAACGAGCGTTTCGTACGAGACTTCCTCCAAAAGTCACACGTCAAGTCTCCAAAACGAGCGTTTCGTACGAGACTTCCTCCAAAAGTTACATGTCAAGTCCCCAAAACGAGCGTTTCGTACGAGACTTCCTCAAAAACTCACATGTCAAAGTCTGCAAAACGAACGTTTCGCACGAGACTTCCTCCAAAAGTCCAGCGGAAACACCCATCGGAGCACACACATCACGCAGCCCTGCCAAGCAGTTTCGCGATTCCAGCCCCTCCAAACGACACCCGCTCACACGCCAATCCCAATGTGACAGCGACATTCACCTCTACCACAACTCACAACCTCCCGATTCCCTGCGCCTGCCACGAATCTTTCCGCGTCCACACGTCTAACGCGCACAAAGTACTGCGCCTGCCACGAAATGTCACCTCCGTCACACATCGCAACCTCACGATTCCCTGCGCCTGCCACGAAAATCCCACTTCCACACCTCAAAACCCGCACAAAGTCCTGCGCCGGCCACGAATCTTTCCGCGTCCACACGTCTAACGCGCATAAAGTACTGCGCCTGTCACGAAATGTCACCTCCGTCACACATCGCAGTCTCATGATTCCCTGGTGCTGCCACGAAAATCCCACTTCCACACCTCAAAGCCCGCACAAAGTCCTGCACCTGCCACGAATCTTTCCGCGTCCACACGTCTAACGCGCACAAAGTACTGTGCCTGTCACGAAATGTCACCTCCAATGCGCACAAAGTACTGCGCCTGTCACGATATGTTACCTCCGTCACACATCGCAACCTCACGATTCCCTGCGCCTGTCACAAAAATCCCACTTCCACACCTCAAAACCCGCACAAAGTCCTGCGCCTGCCACGAAAAGTAACACTGTCATCTCATGTGAGCTTCAACCAAATTTGCACCACACCACACGTTTGGAATGATTTCGACCCGTTCTGACCACACTCCCATCCACCAAAATCGGCATTTCAGCTGAGACTTGTCGCGAAAACAGAGCCTCGACGCCGCATCCTGAAACGCAAATCCCAATGGCACAGCCACATCCAACACCCCAAAAACACGACTCTCCACACGCTAATCCCAATGGAACTGCGTAGCAAACTGCGGATCTCACAAAACGCTGCCCCTGTGCAGCGAAATGCATCACGCTTCTTGCGCGACATGTCCTTTTCACGCAAATCACAATGGACTCGCGTCGCAAACTAACACATGACACATCCATGCCTGGTCACTTGCAAAAGCTTCCCCCAATGGCAGCGCCTTAGCGCTCTACTGCGAACGGTTGCGGACGGTTGCGAACGGTTGCGAACGGTTGCGGACGGTTCCGAACGGTTGCGAACGGTTGCGGACGGTTGTGAACATAGAAGCAATGGGTCGCGAACAAAGCTCTACCCCCAGACCCCCAAGAGTTAAACGAGAACCCTTCGCTACGCATTCGGGAAAAGGGCTTTTTCGGACACTCTACCAGCAGATGTGGTTCGCGGTGCACAACGATGAGGCATAGTGCAGACTAGACGTGGCAGTAGGCCTGGTGATTCACTCGCCGACCTCTGCTTTAGCTTTGCGCTAACAAAATTGCGTCCGAAGTGATCACTAGAATCGAGCATAGCTATCCCGATGTCTGTATTTGGTGGGACTGATTCGAACAACCGTATACGATCAGGTGAGCCCACTCGTCGGCTAGAGCCATTGATCCCAATTTGGGCGGACGACATCGCGATAGCGGTTGAAGATGTCTCTGCAGGTAGACTGATTGAGAAGGACACAGCCATTTCGAAAATGCTTTTGGATAGGCTTTTAGCTGCAAGACTAACACCAAACATGTCCCCTGGCAAGAGTGAAAGCTTGAAGCTACACTTTCTGTTGCCGACATCATCATCATCATCACCATCAGCCGTGCTTGGTTCTTGTTCTGGTTCTTGGCCCGCTTGCACACCTGCCAGGTGTCATGCGCGTGCGGTGATGGCTTTAGCCAAGTTCAGCGAGGCACCGGCATCGGTCATGGCGCCCGACGTCTTCATGTCATGAGCTGATTTGGTCCCCCCGGTCCGTGGAAAGCATGAAACAACGCAAATGAAGAATCTCAAACCACATGAAACGATCACTCCGAAGGGGTGAACATCGAGTTCTTGGGAAACAAATTGCGCTGCCAAACGTTCGAGTGCCACATCCGCCGAACGTTCTCCGGCTGAAAGAACGTCGCACGTCGCCCGTACGCCTCGGAACGGGCCATTTCGAGGAGGGGGGTCCTGGGGCCACTGAACTGGCGTTCTCCTGGCGTAAGGACCTGGCGAAAGCCTTGAAAGAGCAAGGGACTCCAGTGGTTCGGGCTTCCCAGGGAACCCTGTGGCGACATGGGGCGACGGCATTGATGTGGTGGTGGACCACGAGTCTGTGTGTGTGTTTTTCTTTTTCATTGGTGAGAGCTGCTTGGTTGGGCTCTTAAAGGTTCCTTGGTTTGGAGGGCGCGGCGTAGGTGTCCAATACAGGCGTATAGGATATAGGTGTCCAATACAGTGCTATAGTGTGAGATCATGATCTATGACGATCAGTTGCGGGAAGGGTGAACCTTTGGTGCAGTTCAGCATCATGATTCTTGGGATACTTGAAATCTTGCGAGGTCTTCCCCTAGGGCTCCTGGCCCATATCCTCAGGTTCGGTGGTTAGACCCCCCTGGCACCCACCCCAACCATCTTCTCAGGAGGTGGTTGGAGCCCTAGGCTTCACTCCATTTCGAGCGAACGGCCCGTGGGTGGTCCGTCCACTCTTCGACGACGAACGGCTCGGCTGACCCCGGCTCGGCTGTCCGCAACAATGACGCTCGGTGCCACGGCTTGGCCGGTCGGGAATGGTTGAATGGTCCCTAAAGTGATCAAAGGCGTAGAAGTGTTGCGTAGGACTGAAATGAGGAGAAACTGAAGGATCACATGGATGTGACATTGATAGGAATCCAGGAAGTTCCTCTACACAGCTGCTCGGCTCGGAATTCCGGGTCATGTGTTCGGCTCGTGTTCACCTGCTCTGCCGTCCGACCTACCGTGCTCCATGAAGAGCTCTGGGCCTTCGGCCACCGACACGCCTAAACCGGCGCCTTCGACCCTGCGCGAGAGAGCGGCTGCACCGAGGAATCGGCGCTGGAGAGCCCGGAAGACACGCCCAAAGGGGACGCGGGCCGGTCCCCCACGCTTAAAGGCGCGCCAGGCAGGAGCCCGGTGGGATGGGCGAGCTCAGCTGGTTGAGACTGACCTCAGGGAGAACTGACTTGCTGGCGTTTGCTTGACAAATTAGTATCTGAAATTTGCTTAATCTTTTTTATTCTTTGCTGGAACACCAGTATAAAAACAACATATTGCGCATGACATTCATCAGAAGGCTGTTCAGATCACTTTGTACCCCCGTGCGACTCTCCCCCCACTTGTTCTGGCAAGGCGCGAGTCTCGGCTTCAGCTTCCTGACACAGTTGGGCTTGCGCTTCGATTGTATGGGAGGGTTGCGTTTTGAAAGTGAGGTGGTTGGGAGATTTTGCAAGCTGGTGGGGGAGAGGGGTGGAAGGGACAAACACAGAAGGTGCTGAAAGAGATCGTGTGATAGCTCCCAGGACCTTTCAACGGTTATGTTTGGACACCCCTTTCATACCCTTTTATCACCTCTACCATGAAATAGGGGCTATAGACACTCGAGCATTGGAGGCTCCTGGTTTGCAATCATGTTTGAGTAGTCATAAGGGCTTGTTTGGACTGGCCAGGTCGTGAATCGACAGAAAATGGTCACCGAACGAAGAAGAGGAACGAGGAAGGTGGTTGCAGACCTGTCACGACCAGGTCACGACCAGGACCCCGTAGAAAGAATAGGGGTGGCTTAGGGTGTAAACATGAGTCCATCGCCCTCGAAAAGAGGTGCGCTAAGCTTGGGTTGCTGGGGTCCGGTCCTGGATGGTGCTGGTAGTCGTCGTAGGCTACTTGGAACATGGGTGGCTATTTGGAGTGAGAGGCGGATCGGTCGAAGCTAACTGGTGAAGGGCAACTGAACACCTTAACAGATAAATCCGCAGGATATAGGGGTCCCGTGAGAATTGGTCTTTTTCGCCGGTTTTTTAGGGGTTCTTACTTCTCAATGACTGGTTTTGCTTGTGCCGCCACTGTGTCACTACATGTCTTCCCACTTCTCTGTGTGATGGCCATTATGCTTTGCCGCTGCTGCCTTGTCTCCCCACTTGTCTCCTTACATGTCTTCCCACTTATCTGCCTATGTGATTGCTGTTATGGTTTGCTGCTGCTGTGCCGCTGCTGACTTGTCTCCCCACTTATTATGTCCCGTCTTCAATCTATCCGGAGAAAGAACAGGCAACCGCAAAAGCCTGAAAGGCCGCAGAACACGACAGAAGCCCTGAGAAACTGGAGGCACAACCACAAGACACCTGAGCGGAGGAGGAAGGTTCGACCGTCGCAACCCAAAGCCAGCCATGGGAGAGGCGGGGGAGTGCACGCAGGGGTGGCACAACACTTGAGAAAACGACAGTTGCAGAGCAAAAGTATCTAAGTTCACAAAGCTGCTTTGTGGTGTCCGAAATCCGCTAAGAATGGCGAAGGGTATCTCAGGAGCGCTGGCTGGACTACCCAGCCTACTCTCTAGGATTTCCAGCTAGCACCCCTTTCACGGATGCAAGATGTGGACAGCCAGGGCCGCCAGGGACTCCTCCTTTTGGTCTCGCTCCGCTTGCGCCGCGCCACTTCAGGTCCAGCGCTTCCAGTTCTTCGACCGGAAGCCCCCCATCTCCCAGGCGGTACCGTCCCGAGAGCCGCGGAACCTTTGGGCGCGAGCCGAGCCGGAAAGGGAGGGGTCCATGGCGCCAGTTGGGGTTTGAGCCGACGGAAACGAAGCAACGAAAGAAACGGATGAGCCAGCCCGGAGTTCGCCGTTTCCTATGTCAAGGTTGTTTCTGGTTGTTTGTGGTTCCAGGAGAAGCAACATTGATGACATCTGATGACTGACTATGGGAGTCCTGAGTGAGTCGAAGGGGAGTCAGTCGAAACCCAACTTCCAGCGAGTCGTTTCGGGTGGAAAAACCGAACCCCCCCCCGGCCCCTCAGTTCCTTCGTTTTTCCGGTGGAAACCAAACTGAGGACTTGGAACCCATCCTGTGACCCCCAAAGTTCCAGATCTGTTCTGTGGCAACGGAGAACTTCGGTACAAAGGCACAGATTGACCCGCCGCACCGCGCAAACTCTGCGGAGTGATTTACTTCCAGCGCTCCTGGTGACGTGGATGGCAAGGCAGCAAGACCAAACATGCCATCCACTTCCATGTTAGTGAGTCAGAGGGTACCAAGAAATTGGAACTGGAAACCACCACATCTTCATGAGAAGCGGACCTTCAGACTGGCCTCTGGGAAGACCCTGTTCCTTTGGCTTCGGCCTCTACCTCTCGTGAAGCTTTGGAGGATTTTGGAGGTGAAGAAGCCAGTTGCCCCAAAATCAGCTCCCCAAGTTGGACTACTTCTACACATTTCTACACCCTGACTCCACACCCCAAACCCCCCCGCGCTAAGTTTGCGCGCTCCGCGCGCGCTCGCTTTGCCGCGCGTCTTCTCCGTCGACCGTAGAGGACCGATCGGCGAACTGGGCGAGCGAGCTACGGGAACTGGGGCGGTCGGCCCCGAGAATCAACAGACGACCTGGGAGGTCTTGACCTACCGGTGAGTTCCCCGGAACTAAGGCGAAACGGGTTTCGACTCACGGCCGTCCGGTCTGGACTGAAAAGCGGAGAGATCGCGCTCGCAGCCGCCTGAACAAGCGCTCGCAGGGCTGAAAGGGCTGAAGCTGATGGAGCAGATGGAGGAAAGCTGTGTGTGGGTGGGGAGTGAAGGTCCTTTTACGGCGGGGGATGCTCAGGTTTTGAACATGAGGTCTTCCTGGCCTGTTTTGGGGTACACAAAAGTAAAACCAACCATGTGTGTTTTGGAAGCCAATCTTTCAAGATTTTGGGTAGCCCAAGTCCCGGCATGTTTTTCTTTCTGTCTGGTCACAGCAGCGGAAGATCAGACAAAAGGAAGACACAAGATCAGTGCCAAACGAACATATCAGACATGTTATGATCAAGATCTTTCAGCTGCTGATCACACCAGGAGTTCCGGCTGTCATGGCGCCCCGGGAGACCTGACCTTGCTTGACCCCCAAACAAATTCCGGAAGGAAGTCCAACTACAAGGTGCTCGGCTCGGGCTCCAGAGCGACTTACCTTGCTGCTCCCTATCATATCAAGCAGACATCATCCTATAGAACCTGAGGGACCAAAAGATCTTGGACAGCTCCCTAAGGCGTGCTGTCCTTTCTCTATCAAACACAGGGATTCTTCTGCACCACTCCAAGGAAGGGCCGCCGCTCGTTCTCGCGCCATTCCCTCCAGCGCCCGGCTGTCATTCCCAACGAAAAGGGGTCGAAAAGAACGACCCGCGGATGAAGAACTCCATGTGTTTCCAGCAGAGGTTGAAGAACCCGAACTAGACTATCCCAGTTCGGTACCCCAGGTGACGGTCCTATTTACGGTCACTGTCCACCTCTCTTGGTGTTCTGTGGGACGTCCCCCACGAGTTTCATCCTGACCCGCACCAGAGCACCATCGTCGGTGTTGAGAAGAACCAAAGCTGTGGCCCATCGTCGGTCCTGGGCGGCAGTGAGGTAGGCCTTTCCTCAGCTTCCTCGAAGAAGGACACCAATCTGAAGTCATAGTTTGGTGCCATGTTGACTTTGAAGAGAAGTGAGAACATAGTCCGTCATCCCCTACGCCCTGGCAAATGATGGAGGACAGTAACTAGGAAAGTAGACTGACTTACTGGTTGGTGTTTCAACTCAGGAGCGAAGCATATGAGAACCAGTGATTTCAATCACCCCGCATATATAATATATATATATATAAAGGTTGAACACAAAAAACACCCTTGGCAGACGAACATCGAACCTGAAAACACTGGTCTCTCTAGAGGAAAACCATGCATTTCCGATGGTCTTCTGTTCAGGTTCGTCAGTCTGCAAGGGTGAACTACATATGACACCACCACCCAGCGGGTGCTTCCGGGAGCGTTCCTGGCCATCGAGCGGGTGCATGGCCAGAGACCCACAGGAGCCCGGTTTCTCTTCGGTGGCACCTGTGGGCCACCTCAGCCGAACAACCTCCGGCGGCGAAACTGACCCGAGCCTTTGGTGATCAGTGGGCCGAAAGCTGGGAAACCACCATCCACAGTCGACAAAAGAGGATCAGAATCCCTGGGCGGCTTTTTTTACCTGCAGTCACAAGACGGGGTGCGATCCATGGAGGTTCGGGGTTACTCACTTAGGGACTAAGCACCACCCCGACATGTGACTCCTGGTAGTTGAATTTTGCGCATTTGTTCCTTGGCTGCAGTGAGTGACTTTGTAGCAACTGCTCATAACCCAAAAGGATCACAATGGGGCGACCCAGTGAACTAGGTTCTATAAGTAAGACTTATACCATCTTATACCAGCCAGGGGGCAAAACAGGATTCTGAGAAGGGCTCCAAATAGCACCTGGAGAGACTGAGACCTGCGAGTGAGTCGAAGTGACGCCATTCCCAAAAGCTTGACTGTCCGAAAAGGCATACTCAAACAGACTCAGACAGTCCTTTCCTTTACCAGATGCTCCATCTGTGCCATATATGCCGCCCCATTGACTCCCCTAGCCACCCCAACTGATCGGCAAACATTGCATGTTTATGCAGTGGGCATCACGAACAGACCACTTGGGTTAGCATGGGTTAGCGAGCGTGAATTAACATGTCCATGTATGGCTACGAATCAAAATACACTGACATACCCTGTTTGACTGGTAGATTCACCTTTTGACCATGACCATGTTTGGTCGTCTATTCAGTTCTTCCTTTCGTGCCAGAACAATCTGGCACAGTCGAGGCATTCTGCGCATTCTGTCCACCTTCACTTGGTGCGACAACCATCCCACCAAGTGAACCGAGCGTCTTCTGGAACCATGGGAACGGGATATCTTCGCCGCCGCAAGCACCTCAGGCTTAAGACCTCACAAGGAGGGGAGCTCGGAAGCTTGGGGGAGCTGGTGGAATTCGGTTGGGGCTCGGACTTGGATGCATTGAACCGACGGAATTGGAGCGGTTGGAAAACCCAAGAGCCGCGAACTAAGTATACAAGAAACATGAGTTCTCGAAACCAGTTGGCAAGGCATCCTTGGATCAGAACTGCAGTTTTTTGGTCTTCAGACCCAAGTCTTTCTCTCAGTTTTCGTGGCTGAAATCGATGGCAGGGTGAAAGATCTCACGAGACCGGACTGGTATTGCAAGCAGACATCCTGTGACATCCCCCAAAATCCATCGAAGCAGAGGTGGGAATGGACCCTGGACCCTCTCAGAATCGGTACTCAGAATCGGTATCCGTTGACCAGTTCAGTGTCGGTCATTCACGACCTCTTAATCTTTTGGGTCCTAAGACCAGCTGTTGGAAGGATCTGTGACATGAAGAATTGGAATCTATCGTCGTAGGGAGTCCAGTGGACGATGTGTGATCTCTTGACATCTTGAAGGACCCATCCCCACATCTTATTTGGAGATTTCATGCCTAGGGAACACCCCTCGGCAAAACTAGTAGATTCACATCATCCTGAAGACTAAAGCGACTAATAAATAGTGATAATCCTGTTAATTTTTTGGATGTTCGCGGTGGCGGGGTCGATGTTCGCGGTCGATGTTTGCTGGTTGTGGGTGACAACAGACATCAGCGGACTCTGTGAACTTGTTGTCAGTCGTCGGGGCGAAAGTCGAGAGTGCGGGGCAAATGACAAAGACAGACATCTATGAGATAGGGGACAACGAACAATAGCCAGAGGTGTTTCTAGAGTCATGGAAGCGGAGTCGAGTTCACCACCTGTTGGGTATGACTGTAATGGCTACTTCATCCACGTCACCATTATGATTTCATTCCCTAAGACTCCGGGGCCCAAAGGAAGACCATAGGCGTTTTTTTTTAGGCGGAACCCCCCTGCGTCGTGCCCGGTGTCGGGTCGTTTGCGCGGTCAGGTCGGGCCCGAGCCCGGTCATGGCACCGAGAGCCCGAAGAATGAACAACCCCGGGTCGGTTGAGTGCTGTTCTTCCTCCACCGGTGGGAGGTCAAGCGGTCGGTTTCCTGGTGCCATGATCCAGCCATACTTCCAGCCATATAACTAACTATAGCAAGTGTCAGATGACTTGGACATGTTTTAGACTCATTTTAGACGTGAACAATCATTCATGATTCTGTTGATGATGATTTTTTTCCATTTCTTAGATCCTGATTTGAGTATGCAATCAAGATTCAGTCAACAAGTGTGTTCAAAACACTTCTGATGACCTTATTCCGGGGATCAAACCATCATGATTCATGATTTGGCAGCTGAAGTAGTGCTTAGAAAGCTCCGAAAGAGGAAGCATGAAAGCCAACAACCCCGTATGACAGCTGCGGTTGATGAATTGACATTCTCAAAACAACCCTGAAATCATCATGAAATAATGATGGAAGTGGACAACCACCTGTTTGTAGAGGAACCTAATCATCCAAGCCATCCACTTTCCGTGGCCTTGATGATTTCAGGGAGTGTTGGGCAGCCTAAAGGCGCTAGTTCCGTAGGTGTGTTGCTTTCCAAGGCTTGGGCTGCCGGAGTGTGGAGGAACGCGTGTGGGCACCTGGTTTTGTTGTTCCCCCTGCTGGGATCTTGGGAGTTGGAGATATCTTGAGATATTTGAGAACCAGGTCAGTGAGGTGTTGATATTGCATGTTATGGCCATCATGCCATCATCCAAAAAGCTGTAATAGTGCTGTATATAAGTCATAAGCAAAGTTTCCAGGCGCTTTGTCGCCATCCAGGGTTGATTTGCCGCACACCTTCTGTCGATTTGATGCTTGCCAAGTAGAGGAGGGCTACATTTCCGTCTTCGCAAGCGGCACCCTACTGTAACGCGCCCCGAGTCGCTCACATGCAAGTGGAAAACCACCACCTGTTTGGTGTTCCCAGCATGGTCACCCTAAAATAGGCCATGCCATGCCACTGCGCTTGAAACGTGTGACAGTCCCAGAAGTCCAGTTCGGCACCACAAGAACGTCTAGCAGGGGTGTGCTGGGGAACTCTTGGGGTTCTAATCCGATTTAGACTCCTTAGGGCGTTCTGAAACCACCAATTAAACAAACAGCACCACGGAGTTCGGGTGGTTCTTGGTGACTTAGGACTATATATAATATAATATTACATAATATTAATATTATATAATATATTGTCATTGTAATAAAAACCGGGACCTCCGTGGTCTTTGAGCCAAGGAGTTCAAGGAGTTCAGGGATTAATTCCCCCCCAGGTCTATAGTCCACTTCTGACGATCTGTAACGATACAAATACCTGAATTGATGTTGTCGTTTGTTAGAAAAAACATGCGTGGTGCCATACATCTCGATTCCAAGGGTTATGTGGGTGACTGGAATCATCAAGGCACCAGCCATCAAAAAGCCTCCGGTCACCAACTCGGACGTCCGCACGCTTCGTCTGCACGAGGTCGAAGCGGGTCGACGCTTGAGAGCCTCGAAGCTGAAGCCGAAGCCGCATGGAGGCGGGCGGATGGCGGCACAAAACCGCGTGTGCGAAGAAGCACTTGTATGGGTTGAACAAGTGGATGAAGGAGGATGAAGGTAATAAAGATCTTAGATTCTTCTGGATGAAACTCACTCTTCTTTGCATTGATGTCTTAGTGTCTTATTGATCAAGAGACATCAATCTCGTCTTCATGACCTGATGGATCTTTCCAGAAACTGCATGACCCAGTCTTCTCGACGAGTCAATTGGGGCGAGGACGATTCCCAAGCGCCTGCCACCTGCATTCCCGGTCGGAGGGAGGGGTCGCATTGGGCTCGTGGCCTCGTCCCCCAAAATCGGTGAAACCCAGGTTTCAACTGGGATCACTGACACTGGGAACTCTATCGGGACTCCAAGGGAACGGAAGACCAAAACCGAAAAAAGCATGTCGCCACCGTCGTTGGTTCCTTCAGTTCCGCCGTTGGACCGACCTTAGGGGCGTGTGTTGACGAAAAATCCAACATGGTCAACAGTCCAAAGAAGCAAAGTAGAAACACTCGTGACCTCCTTCAGGTGAGCTTTGTGGGACGAAGTCATGAAAGACAAATCATTCGAGGAATCCAATTTAGGTGGTGCTCATGGAGGTAACAGTGACTCTCAGGGAACAGGGATGCACCATGCCATACAACCTATAAAAATGAAAAAATGATAGGGTATATGTACTGAAAACATCTTGAAGGTAACTTTAGTGGGTGGAGTAACCTTCTTTTTATCCTGGAGTCTCAAGACATCTCAAAACATTCAACTCCAAGGCTTCGATCAGAAACATCACCCTACAGGTCTTGAAGATCTCGGATCTGGGATCTGGTCATACAGAAACATCGTTCAATGAAGTCAAGTTCTCCAGCTTTGACCGGGGCCTTTGGATCCAGGAAGAGCAACGACGTGAGGTATCTGAGGATGGTGAGGTTGGTGGTATCTTCACCAAAGCAAGTCCATCTGGGAGATGCTTTCTGAGTCAGTTGAGTCAGTCTGATCGAACGTTCAAAACCCCAACACATTCGGAGTCGCTCCTTTGACTCCGTAGATGTTCCATTCAATTTGGTGATTCGGTTGATCAACCGAACTCAGCAAACCCATTGGTGATGGCCGGTAGGTCCAGAGGTCACTTGGCACCGGGCCCGAGTCTTTGTCGCCCATTTGAAGGGGCCAAAATGGTTCATGAAGGAGTCCACTGATGTCCACCTTCATTGCATGTGGGTTGCCCCTGGAAACGTCTCTGTAGAAGTTCCAAAGGGGTGGATGTGAGGTCCCAGCCAGGTAAGTGGATAGTTGAATTTAGTTGAAGAATTCAATACTTCCATGGTGTCAAGCCATGATCTCCAAAGGGGTGTTTTGCTTTTGTAGGGAGGTCTCCAAATGTCTCCAAGCGGTTTTGGTCTATTTCCCTTCTGAACCTCCAAGTCGAACTGGGAGTCTCCGGAGTCCACAGCTCTGTGCTTCGATGCCGACGCCGACGCCGACGCCGCGCCGGTAAACCCTCGCCGGGTCCAGGCGATGAGCCCCCGCTCGCGCCGCGCGACGCGGCTCGGGGCTCTCAGGGGTGCACAGCTGTTTCAATCTTCTAATCGTCTGTTTTTGTTCTATTTTTTTGGGGGGTGGAATTGGCTTCCCTATATACAACTATGGGGATGACACCTGAAGGTTTGGTGCACCAAATGAGCGGGTCACGACACCCGACCAGGTCGTCAATGCGTCAGCTTTGGTCGAAGCGTGACCACGGTCGATGGGTCCGTGGATGGAGGATGGCAACCGATTTGCTGCGGATGGTGACTCCTCAGGGGCAATACGCCTTAGAGGTGACTCCTGTGCTAAGCCTTAGAGGTGACTCCTGTGGCTTTCCGAAGGCTTTCTTGATGTGTCTCAGTGGAGTGGTGAGGTCAGTGAGGTGAGGTTGGAGGTGAGGGGTTGGTGAGGAGAGGGACTTGAGGGGTTGGTGACGCGAGGGGTTGGTGAGTGAGATGAGTGAGGTGAGTCACCCACCCATTCACCCACACACGCACTCTCACGCGCATACTCACCTCACCCTGCACCAAACCCGCGCGCCCGACCCTCACCTCACCAACCCCTAGCCTCACCTCCGGACCAACCCCACCTCACCTCACCTGACCTCTCTCACCTCACTCATCAGTATGGGCTCCCTTTTTTTCACCCTTGAACAAGTTTTTTTTTGTTTTTTCGCCATCCCTTTTTTCCCACCCTCGAAACCCTTTTTTCACCCTCAAGATTCATTTTTTTCCCACCCTTTGGAACTTTTTTTTTCACCCTTCCAACACCTGTTATTTTCACCCTGCACCCTGTCATTTTCACCCTGTAGCATGTTTCTTTCACCCTTCACCTTGTGTTTTTCACCCTTCACCCTTTCTTTTTCACCCTCGACCCTTTCTTTTCAACCCTCCGCCGGTGAAGCAGGAAACCCCTGGAACCTGCACAGAGATCGATGTCACCTCCGGTTGTTTCACACCGCTTGTCTGCACCTGCCAAACCCTTTTTTCACCTCAATAACTTCTTGTTACTAACCCTTCGGAACCCTCCGGAAACTGTGCAGAGACTGTCCGGAACGACGGGAACCGCCGGAAACTGACCCGGAGCATTGTTTCGATCAGTACTTGGGAAGTTGGCTTGGCTATCTCTCACGCTTCCAATACTGCAATTTCAGGTGTCGCTTGTGTCTTGTTTTCAGACGAGTCCGACTTGACGAGGTATGAACGCTCTTCGAGAAGTCATCAAGTTTGCCAAGACTTTCAGAGGACACAAGCAGTACTTTGGATGCTCAGAGTGGGGAGCCACGGTTGAGTTGGTGACAGTGGTCACAGACAGCTCTTGGTCGACAAGGAGTGTGATGGGTGGACTCACCTTCTTCGCTGGAAGCATGATCAAATCATTTTCACGTAGAGTACAGACGATTTGTTTGAGCAGTGCCGAAGCAGAACTTCACGCAATTGTCGAGGGTGCACATGAAGGCATTTCAGTTGCACTCATGGCAGAGTGCTTCATGGTTGGTCTTCCGGCCAGAGACGAACTTGGGAACTTCGTAAAAACAACGGGAGTGATTCCGTTGGAGTTGCATTCAGACTCTCAATCGGCCGTTCATGTTGCGCACATGGCAGGTTTGTAGAGCAAGGTGCGCCACATGGAGTTGCGTGTGCTGCGTCTTCAGGAATTGGTTGAGCTTGGACGCCTCATAACTAAATTCATTCCAGGTATTGACAATATCGCTGACGCCTTCACGAAAGACAGCGATAAAGCACACGTAGAACTAAGCTGCGCAGTAATCGGCCTCTCTTTCGGAGTTGAGGAAGCAGTTTCTGTGAGTTTTCTATCCAAGGCGTCCGGCTTTTACTCAATTTCCGTTGCAAGGCACGTTGTGAAAAGAGTAAGGAAGTGGTGCGCATTGGTGCATGAAGGCCAGACGGATCCTGGGATCCGTGACGACTGACCTTCGAGGGTGAGAAGTTGAGATTGCATGAGACCTTGCGAACTGAGACGAAACGTCTAGAACTGTTGCGTGGTTTTGCCAAAAAGGTAGAACTAGTCGTGGATTTTTGCATGTTTGATCAGATTTGCAGAAATGGTAAAGTTTCTCTCTTTTCCTTTCGCTTGAGGAGACTTCTTTTCACAGACTTAGGGGTTCTCCGGTGAGCCTCTTTGAGTTGTGTCCGAGTGAGATGGATTGGTTGACGATTTTCCTGATCATGTTCGTCGCCCAATGGTTGATGCTGTTTGCACTCACTGCCGTGGTGTGCTGCGGTGCTGGCAGTACCAGGGGTCGAAGTCGATCCCGTTCCGGTGGCCGAAGCCGATCCCGATCCAGCTCACGATCAAAGCGATCAAAGAGCCCTCGGGAGCAGCGAGTGAGATCGCCACACACGCCTGAAGGGCGTGGATCGTCCTCAGCCAGGCCATCAGAGGCCGATGTCACTGAACACGATAGAGCCAGAGCTCTTGCACTTGGTGTGGCGGGTTGGTCACGTCCATCACCAAAAACACCCGCACCCCCTCCCGCCTTTATTTACACAGCATCCATCCATCCATCCATCCATCCATCCATCAACCAAGCACACGAACAGAAATCATGCATATCCATCAAGCACTGTATCACGCAAGCAATCACGGCAAGCAAACCAACAAACCAACGCACCAAAAAGTAACATGTTTCTCCCTGTCCATGATCCATCCATCACTGTATGTGCTTTCTCCAAATCCAAGCAAACAACAAGCCAAGCAGGCCGAACCAACCAACACACCAACCAAAGGAAGTGGGGTAAAAAAGAAAGGGTAGCAACCAAACTGTGTTTTCCCCAAATGATGTCGATACTTGCTTTGCATTGGTGGCCCACCAAGCAACCAACAAACCAAGCAACCAAAACCACACAACCCGGTGTTTTCCCCAAAGGCTGTCGATATTTGGTTTGCGTTACAACAAGCTAGCCAACCAACCAACGCACCAAGCAAAGGAAGGAGGGCGAAAAAGAAAGGGTCGAGGGTCGAAAAAAAAAAGGTAGAGGGTGAAAAAAGAAGGTTCGAGGGAAGACTCAGAGGGTGAAAAGGAAAGGTGAAGGGTGGAAAAAAGAGGGCGGGGTGAGAAAAAAAAAGGGTTCAAACGTGAAAAAAGGTTGCCCTGCACCAGCTCACCAGCCCCTAGCCTCACCTCCGGACCAACCCCACCTCACCTGACCTCTCTCACCTCATTCATATCACTCACACAATGTCCTCCTTTTCTGTTTTCGTGAATTCTGAGATCCAACAATGACCCGTTCATGATCTCCGCTGCCTTGGCGCACAAGTTGACCCCCTACAGCTACACAAGTTGACCCCCTTGAAGTTTGGGGACAGGAAGTGCCCTGAATGCCGAGCCCTAGCGCTGCTTTTGAGTACTGCGGATGCAGCACAAAAAAACAATGGCACCGCGATGATTGCCCACACTGGGCACTGGTTGGAGGAGGATCAAGCATATTGGCTGCAAATTGCTGCCAGAGACCTTGTGCTGGATTAGTAAGCCCCGTGGGCCAGAACAGAGCCAAAGCCAAAGAATGGCACGCCGAACTGACAGCCAAGCGGGCAGCAGGGGAAACCCATGGCAAATGTGTTCATCGGCACTGGTTCCGAGTTGGCGAACCCTAACCCTGATTCAAAACCCTAAACCATAAACCAACCCCTGACCAGGAATAAACCCCTAACCCTAACCCCTGACCCCAAAGAGCTCTCAAACCTAAACCTAAACGACCGCCCATGGCCCGCCCGCTTCTATGCCGTCACAGGCTTCCTCCTTGATGCGGAGCGCCGCCGCAGCAGTCGTGTGGAGTCGGGGCCGCCTGGCGCGGTCGTGCTCGAGGCGGGTGCAGCTCGTACCGAACGCATTGGGTTGCATTGGAACCCGTCTCAGTCCAGCATCTGGTCACAAACCCATCAACTCCGAACATGGAAACCCTGTTGGGTTTAGGGAAAAATCGATTTCTGAAGAATTATATTTATGTAAAAACACCTGTTTGATGTTTTTGGTTAATAACCCCAAAAAGAGGTATCCAGGATGTTGAGGGGTGTCTAACCACCCGCACCGTGGGTCCTGATTCAAGTTGTGAGTCACTTGTGCAACTGAGGACACATGTTCTTCTTTTCTTTGGGGGGGTGTTGCAGTGGCGATGTGGTTCCAACACATTTGGGACACCAGAACTTCGCTAAGTTTGGAATGAATGACATTTCAGCTTTGACGGTGGAATCCTGGAACCCACCAGCCGTCGGTTCGGAGCTAGAACATCTTGTGAATTGGTAGGCCTCCCGGCTTGCTTTTGTCATTCGTTTGTGATAGGCATGACTTGGATACTCTATTAAGTGTTGGCAGCGTCACTCAGCACAGTGCGCCAATTTCAATTGGAACTATTCATGCATTTTAGGGATGTTCAAGTATACGGCTAGATACTGCGATGGACCAACGCTCCCGAATTGCAGACCTTTAAGCCAGGTCACCCAATTTGAGGAGACATTTGAACCACAAAAAACGCAGGGGTTTTCGCTCATTAAGCGCATCCGTTCTGCTCCTTCTGACCACGTCAAATGACCATTGCCGTACCTTTTGGTCCGGGTCTTCGCCCCCTCAGCGTCGGAGCGTCGGAGCTGCCGAGGCTCTCCCAGTCCCAGCCACGAGGCCAGCCGCGGTGTGGAGAGGTGGGGGCGGTGGCCATGGGCACCTGCTAGACATGGTTTTGCAGGGATTCAATCCTACGTATATGTACTGTATATGTACCAGCACCCTCCAACAGGCTGTTTGAAGACCCTAACAGGTGGTTGCTGGGCATTTGTTGTCACCAGGAAACACCTGTTGGAGGGTCCAGGTATATAGTATATTTGATTAGTATCAGTGGATTCTTTTGACGACCTCGGGTTTCAGTGGATTCTTTTGACGACCAGGTCTATGAGAATGATCCAAAGGCTTTTGACTTGAGTGGAGTGACCATGACCAAGAACAGTCTTCACTTCGAAGAACGCATGGTGCGCGTCTCAAGGTCAGGCAGGAAAAAAAGCCGTTCTCTGGTAGATGTGTCATGATGTGTCCCAGAACAAGCAAGTGAAGGCCTTCCAACGGGTCCTTAAAGTGGTTTGGCCCCAGGAGCTGGTCGTGCCCGGTCGAAGAGAACGCCGTTCGGTCCGACGCCTGTGACGGCCGAAGTGCCCGCCGTGACGCCTCATGCCGTGTGGTACGGGTGGCTGATTCTGTTTGGTGTTTGTATCTTGGCATGGTTGGGATAGCAAAAGGAAACCAGGTCGTCAAGAGCCAAACAGCAAATTGTCACACAACATGTTGGGATCCTGAAAACATGGCATGTTGGTGTCCTGACACCAACATGGCCAACACCTGAACCTCGTGCTCGTGGTCTTTCGATGGTCCGACCGCGGAAGCGCGGACGGCGGGAGGCTGAAGGGGACGGATGAGGGCGCTGTACAAAGATAGATCCCCTTCGTGGCCGCGCCGAGACGCCCGTTGTACAGAGCCCCTCCGGCCGGACCATCCGTCGGCAGAATGGGCTGACGGGTGGTGGGATGACGGGTGTTCTGCGGCTGCGGAAAGAGAGCGTGGGACGTGGGACGGGTGAGGCAGGAGCCGAAGGTGCAAGGCCGAAGACGGAATGGTGGAAGAGATCCCCCATGGTTGAGTTGAAGGATCTTTCAGGGGTCTATTCCACTTTGACTGTTTGAGGGAGGCAGCGTTATAATTCCGCTGTACTAGAGCTTACAGAGTTGGGCTGACGAGCATGGTGGACACCGAAGCAGCAACTCACAGGATCCAAATATAGACAGTCCGGTCAACATGGCTAACATAGCCAATCCATGTTTAAGAGACTGCACCCATTTGATGGTTTGTTTGTCAGGGACGGCCACGCCCTTTTTTCCTGGGTTTCTTGAGTACTTGCTGCGCTTGGTGGTGCCCAGATCATCATAGATCAATCGTCATTCACGGTCCATTTTCGGGATGTGGAAGGAGTTGAAGGGCACCTGCACCGCAACGTTTCTTCCAGTGGTTTGCGACCGTGGTTGTCCTTACATGGGAAAACGCAGGCTGAGGGCAGTGGACGAACATTTGGCCATGCAACCTCATGCCTCATGCAAGAAAGCTTAGAACTTGAGCACTTTACACTTGATGAAACATGAGGAAACGACTATACATACTCCAGACCCCATTATCCAGACCATTGCTCTTGCTATTCTCAACAAATTTGACCCATCCTATGGGATGGCAATGTTTGCCTTCGTTTCGGAGTAACACAAATCATCCCCCCGAAGGTGGGCAACCCATCTGCAGGGGCGGTTCTGTGCGAGTCCACCGGAGGTCGGGTTCAAAGCGGTGATGTTCAAATATATTATAGGCCATAAATGGATGTATTTTTCCGATTCTTTTTGAATGGAGACCATCCCAAAGACAGCCTTGAACATAAAGAACATAGACCAACATAGACCATCCAAAGCCCATTGGATTCGGGATCTTCATGGATCTGAAAGTTCACTACCCAACCCAAGATGAGCCCATTGGGTTGGGGATCTCCATTATAATATCCGATATCTGGGTTCACTATCTCCGATATCCACAGCCCATTGGGTCGGGGATCTCAGGCTTTGGAGATCGGGGTTGACCTCCTTCTTGGACCGTTGACAGATCGCACTCGGGGCCCTTCGCTGGTGGAAGGTCAGCTGGGGCTCCGAATGGCCCATCTGCTCAGGTGACCGCCACGAACATGGGCGAAGCGGTACCTTCCTTCTTGCGGGAAAACAACGGTTCGTGGTCCGTTTCCGCAGTATTTCTCCGCAGCGTTTGAAGTTGCCAATAGAATAACAGCCACGAAGATCAGCTCACTCCAAGGAGGAGGCGGCTCGGATGTTTGATGGGACGTCGGGTGTTTGGTGAGTTGATTTGGGGTCCAATGTAGCAAAAGCGCGTCGACTGAATCATGGTCGATGGTCCAAGGCATAATGTTCGGAACATGAACCAGAACTCCCCCCACTCTGCCCATGTGCGGGGGTCTGATGAATATTGATGAATCATCAGCAACATTCTTGGAGACTCGGTGGAGGGATGCTTGTTTCCGAGAAGGGGAATCCACGAGAAGGCTGGTGAAACCTTTGTGGTGACCTCTCCAGAGGTTTGAGTGGTCATCCTATCATAGTCATAGGATGTCATAGGGGTTCAATGTTCATTGATAGACCAGGAAGGTTTTGATCTATTCTGTTCAGGGGGACCGCCATGGACCATGAAGAGAGTGGTACAATGTGCGTCAACAGCAGAACCATCCTACAACATCATAACTTATGGGTGTGTCCCAGTACCAGTTACAGTCAGTATATAAACAGTTATCATTGTTGGTCCAACTGTTGGTTGAGAAAGGGTCACCACCGTCATCCACGTCCTACCCAGGCAGGGGTAGTCAGTGGATAACCTGCAAAAACTCTTTGGGGGATTGGTTTCCCTACCCAGGCAGATGGAACAGATGGATCAGATGGATTGGGATTTCCCGCTGGATGACTACGGTGCGAGAAGACAATTCATTGGGTGGTTTTGTGACTTTCTGTACCCTAGGGCTCCAACCACCTCCTGAGAAGATGGTTGGGGTGGGTGCCAGGGGGGTCTAACCACCGAACCTGAGGATATGGGCCAGGAGCCCTAGGGGTACATGTGTGACTTCTTTTTCACTATACGTCCGGAGTGTCTATAGTCCATCACGAGTTATGGCTTGAGAGATTGAACAGATGGACAAAGGTTAAGCTTTTTTTTGAATGGAATCTCAGGGAATCAGACCGTTATTGGTAATGGGATATACTGTACACAAATTATACTTTTCATGCAAGCCCTGAAGTCGTGTTGTTTTACTGCGCAATCCTTCAACGTGCGTTGAATTCGTCCCCCTCAACTGGACCCGACGACGAAATCCGACGGATGGACGGATGCTCCGTGTTCAGGCCATGAACTTTAACCCCTTAGCGACCTATGTGAAAGAGCGGCAGGGGAAGCGGGTCATCCGCAAGGCGGTGTTGCCGGGCGTTTCCGGGGCGTGTCTTCGGTGCGTGGAGAATAGGGGATTCTTGCGGGGACGAGGTGAGCCAGGTGAGCGGGTGACAGAAGCACGTTCACTGGACAGAATCCGGTTCGTTATGGAAGCACAACTGGGCATGAAATAAATGAGGGCACACTCCCAGCTTTGGTTCAATGGACAATCTACTTACAGATACTTGCAGGAAACTACCCATGGTTTTGGGGGGTCAATGCTATGGTGTCCAGTCGATTTTCCATTAAATCAATCCATTGGCACAAAGCCAAATGACAATTTTCCAGTGTCCATAAAATCATCCCTTGATTCCATCAATGTCCCTTAGACCAATGCATGCTCCATTGACACAGGGTGGGTTCGGTTCCTGATTCCGATTCGTCGCGCGCACCGAGAACCCGACGAGTCGATTCGGAGCGTGCACCCGACAACTCGCGTAGTTTGTTGTTCTTGTGCACCGGGGCCCAACAGAGAACCGCTGGATGTTCTCTGCTTTTGGTGGATTCCGGCTACAGTTAGCCTGCCTATACAGGTACATAGCTGGACCCTCCAACAGGTCACCATCTGCCACTTTTAAGTCTCCATTTCAGCCACCAGAGGAGACCTGTAGAGTCGGGCGCTGCTACAAGTATGCTTGGTTTTTCGTTTGACCTTGTTGCCTTCACTTGTCTTAGACGTGATTTCTGCAGTCACCGGTACCGGCAGAAACTCAGCGGACCAGTCCGCGCAACCCAAACTCAGATCCCAGAGACTCAAGGGAGACTGGCATGGAGACCTAGAATGATACCCTACCCGGTCAGGTCGTTCCGGGTTCCGGATGAAGGGTCCTGCAGTGGGTCGTACAAAGGCGCGAGCTCCCAGGAGCTCAGGCTGAGCAGGTTTGACTGGGTCAGGCGCCCGACTTGGGTCAGGCGCCCGAGGTCCAGTGAAGTAACGATCGTTTTTCTGAGTGGGAGGAAAGCGATGAAATTCGGAACTTCCTGGACCCGGAGCAACGTTTGTAGATCATTTGAAGGAACCGTCTTGGACTCCCAGGACCACTAAATCATACACCTCGCGGGCTGATTTCAGTGGTCTGTTGGTGTAAAAACTCCATGTCATCTCTGGGTACTTGCTGGTGAATCTTGCTGCGTTGCTCTCAGTGGTTATGATTGGGATCCTTCTTGGGTGATCGCACGGCGAGATCGGACCCCCCCCCCCCCTGCGCCCTGAAGCGCCCCGCGATGCCTTCAACGGTTCGGCGGGCGTTCCTCGGAATGACCGGTGGGCGGTTCGGAACTGGAAGAGTTGCGTTTCGGGTCAGTCCCATGTGGAGTAGAAAGTCGCCCGGTTCGAACATTCCGTGGTGGTGCGAAGCCTCAGGTGAGGTGAGGTGAGGAGAGACTGGGATGTGGAGGTCGTAGCGAAGCTGAGAAGGTACGACTGGATCCTGGAAGTATGTAGCATTCTCTGCCGCAGAAGGTTTCTGTTCTTGCCGTATCTCCAGTTTCAGGGTGAACGCCCTTTGCACCTCCCTTCGCCCAACAAAACACCCGACGTTTCAAAGGAGCACCACTGAGAAACATATACCTGGAATTACCTGGACCTTCAAGGGGTGGTGGAGGTCCCTTAGTGGTGGGCTGGGGCGAAACCAGCCAGGTGACCCCTTAGAGGAGCGGTGCTGGTATGGTTGAAGGTGCTGGTATGGTATGGTTGGTGACCTCTCTCGGTACTTTCCAGGCAGGTGACGTCTTTGAAGGTGCTGGTATGGTTGATTTGTTAATCCCAGACACTCCATGGGACTGCCATATATGTCGCTCCATTGATCCCCCTGGCACCACCCCAACTGATCGGCAGTCCTATGGCAGTCCCATGGGTCGTGTCTGGGAATTATGATCCTCTCTCGTGAATCACCCAGATCCACCCAGTCTCCACTCACTGGATGGGACGACTAAAGACCACCCTGGCCTCCATGTGACTCCTGGTCGATGATGATCCTCTCTGGTGAATCACCGAAGAGGTCTGTGGGTGGTAGGTACTTCGCATCGACCGATGTACCCACCTACCCACCTCCACGCGACGCAGATCCTCATCTCCAACAATGGCATGGCCGCGGCGAAGGCCATCCTGTCGATGCGGAGGCGCGTAGCCTCACCCCGGTCGATACGCAGGCCTTCCCCAGATACCGAAACGAATGGGTTGTTCCAATCATAATACCAGGACCATGCAAGGGGTGGACTACCCTACACTGCTTAGGGATCTCCAGCCAGGACACCCATTGGATGGTGCAGGTATGTGAATTGAATGGAGATCCCTTTACTATGGGAAGGGGCTGGGACTTGGAAGACATGATGAGACATGTATGGTATGTTGGGTCTGCTGGAGCAAAAAGGAGGAAGGAGGCTCAACGGGCCTTTAACGTCCTGCATGAACCAAAACTGGTGGACACCAGAGAAAGCAGCTTGCTGGTGCAAGAGTTGGTAAACATTAAAATGGTCACCGCAGAACACGTCCTCCCTATTTGGGATCTATGAACCACCTCTAACCAGCAAACATGTTGGTCAATGATATTCAATATTCCACCCATGGAGTGCTAGGGTCTATCACGTTCTATCTAATGTAGACTTTTAATCAAATCATCCCCTCTAATAAAGGCCCTGTTCTGTTTAGAAGTCAGAAGAAAGGTTTCGATCCGATGTTGTTGTGGATGTTGTCGTCTTCAGTCGACTCCCTAAAATATCCTAAAACCATCATGGACGTGGAGGGAAGGATGACTCCCTGACATCCTCTACAGACCAGTGCGCACTCTACAGACGAGTGTCATGTTTGGTCGGCAGGCAACCCTACACCTATTTTCCACTTCTATACTATGATTACAGTAGTTTCAGAGTAGATAGCGCAAGTGACCCCAATGTCGGAGTAATGGACTGGACCCCCATTGGTCTACACATGTAGGGGTGAACTCGCCGCCATTTCTCACCTCTGAAACCACTGTAATTCAGAGAGGCTTAGGTTCTGGCTTTTGATGGCGAACTGCTTGGGTCGGGCGGGTCGATATCTGGCTGACTCACTCAAAAGACTGCCCCTGGGCCCTATAGGTGGGAGATCGCCGTCACACGAGACTGAAAGACCCCCAATGACCAGCAGAATTTGGAGCAAAAAAGAAGCAGGTGCAGCTTCATCTTCCATCCTATACTGGTGTGGAAAGGGTGTTCGACATTGGCTAGAATCAAGAGTTGAGAAGAGGTTAACTCTGGATTTGAGCCTTTTCTGAGGCTTGGTTGGTCCAGGCTTTTCTGTTTGGATTCACTTCCAAGTTGATACCCTGGATGTGGAATGGAGAATATGCAAAGTATCGGCTCTAGATTTGAACTAGTCGATGTAAGATCCAAAGCTGACAGGGTCTTAAATGGCTTACTACTAGGAGCAAGGACGCTACTAGTGATGCTCTTTTCTATCGCTCCACCTTAATCCGTTTGGGCTCCGTCTGCACGTCGTCCCGGCGCCAGTGGCGCTGTTGCTTCAAAGTGATTGTTGCCAACGTGGCATAGTACTACAATTCCCAAACGCTCCATGGGACTGCCATATATGCCGATCAGTTGGGGTGGTTTTCGGGGTCAATGTAGGCATATATGGCAGTCCCATGGAGTGTTTGGGATTTCGTTTCCCCAAGCTAGGGGATGGGGTGAAAAGACGTCCTGATTCAACTTTGGAATCTGAGAGGACACGTCCTGATTCAACTGCGGGAGCAAGTCTTCGACTTGTTACTACTCGTTGTGAACGGCTTGAACGGCTTGCTACTTGTTACTATGAACAAACAATGAACAGAGGTGAGATCAAATGCGGAATTGAGCCTTCACCTGTTAACAACATGCCACAAAGAGTCAACTCTGGAGGCAAGCTAAAAGGTACCTGTCTCAACCGTGTTTATAGAAAGGCTTGAATCTGGAGTTAACTCCTTGGTAACTCTTGTTTCCAGCTTGGTTCCCGACACCAACTCGCAGTTTGCATTTGATCATGTGCAGGTGGACCTTCATCGAGTTTGGTTCTGAGCAGATCATCACTTTTGTTGCCATGGCCACCCAGGCAGCTCTGTGAGTTGGGGAGTTCCGGTTAAAAAAGCTAAGCACCGCCGGGGAGAGACGATAGCCATCACCAGCTAGCTACAAGGCGGTGAAGCTTGGGAACGTGTCGAATGGAGGTGAAGATTCCGTGCATCTTTGGTCTATCTTCCCTCTTCCAGGGGTCGAACTGGGAGGTCTCCTTATTGTAATACCCGGGGAGTGTCCTCTTTTTGGCACACTCCCCGAAAAATCATGGTGTAGGTGGACGAGGAGGAGACCCCGAAATAGAGAACACCAAATATAGAGGATTATAGAGGCCCACGCACCCCATAATTTTTGAACATATAAAATGAGGTTCATGTGAAGATCACATCCGTCAAGCTTCAGTGTGGGTTTTCTCCCTGGGTGCAGGAGGGTTCTCCCTCCAGTGCGGAACGAACGTCACTCCTCGAGGCCCCCACGGAACAACCCCAAAAACACCAAACCCAGACACGACCTTTCTGGGAGCTTGGCATATTTACCGAGAAACCGCAAGGGCTGTTATTTGTTCTCTAAGGGGTCCATAGGTATGATGCATATGATCTCATATTATCAGGTCGCGTCTTGAGACCAAGCCCCCCCCCCCCATCCCCTGCTGTTTCACTCCCTCACGTTTCGACCGGGTGCGCGTCGGCGTCCGCCCCAGGATGACCTGAATGCGAACGCCGAGTTCATCCGCATGGCGGACTCCTTCATCGAGGCCAGCGAGGGACGAACGCCGGGAGAACGCCAAGGCTCCGAAGGGTCGAGCGTCTGAGCAAGCAGACGCCGGGAGACCAACGGAGCCTTTAAATGGTTGCCCCCCGTGGGTTCGCCCACCAGAATCATTTTAACGTTATATAGACTGGATCCTGAATATTTTGAATTTTTGACTGCAAAACCAGGTCGATCAACCATATGGATCTTAATTTTCAAAGTTCCGGTTCGAGGCCACGGAACCCCCCGGTCCAGCAGGAAGATCCGTTGAAACGGTCGATCGATGAGACCCAGATCGGTTGATCTGAGACCGGTCTCCAACCGGAAGTACTCCTGCAAGATGCGAGATGTCGGAAGGTTCCCTCTGGCAAGAATGTGAACAACTATGCCAATGTGGATCTCATTTGCTGGAGCCCCAGTTGGATTCGATGGGAGAAGGCGCAAGGTGGCAAGTGGCAAACCATGATGTTCCAGATGTTCTTGAGAAGGACCCCAGAATCCTATCAGGAGCTATGCGGATGTGTAGGGTATGCAGTTGTTCCAGGGAGCTTCATGGAACTCCTTTGATGGTGTCCAGATCTCGGGTCTTGTCTTTTCTTTTCTCTTCGTCTAATGACTGTAGTGCCAAAAAACATCGGGACATATCATAAAACAACTAGGGGATAACGTTTGGATGGCATGAGGAGGGAGCCTATGATATGCCATCCTCTTGTGGTTTAGACCATTTCCATGCCATCCACTCGTTATCCCCTATAATAGCACCTGAGGCAGTCTCTGGAATCCCAGGTCCTCCACCCCCGCCCATCCCCCCCCAAAGCAACGTGTGCGCTCCAGTTCCATTTTACAGCGGGTCGCCCACCGTGTTTCCCCCCGTTTGCGGGTCGTCTCGGACCGTTCGGGGTGCACCCCCCGCGGTCTTGGATGGACGCCAAGGTCGGATTGCACAAGAGCAGCAGGTGGACGCGGTGTGGCCTGGATGGGGGTCCGGACGTCCCAGTTCCCGAGTCCCGAAACGGTCCCGCGCGCGTCGACGTGGTTTAGCCCAAACGTCTGTCGCGGTTTCGGTGCCGCGGTTTTTCTTGGGGATGTTCTTCTTCGGGGGGGAAGTATTCGAAGTATTCCTTTCAAACAGAAGGAAGGCCAAGCTGTTCTTTTGGAGGGAAGACTTATTTGAAGACTTGACCAAATTCCGGAGCCGGATGATGTTCAGTTTCGAGCGAAAGACTCGGTTTCTTTCCCGGACTCTTGGGTCCAGCACCTCCAAGCTCGCTGAAGACAGGTGAGGGGTCGTTGAAAGATGGTCTTTAGGCCATCGGAAAAGACCATTCCTTCCGTGCCCAAACCAGTCGTTTTCGCCAGACTTCGTCGGGGTAGAAGAATCGCGTGGACAACTTGGAGGGCAGAAACGTCTAACTCGGTGCCGTGGCGGTGACAAGTTCGCTGTCGAGCGACCATGTCCGTCCAACCTGTCGACGGAAAAATCCACTCAAGCAGCCAGAGTCGCGACGGCAACGGAGCTCTTCCAGGACATCCAGGTTCTTCCCCATGAAGACAGGGAGCCGGTTGCCTCGGAGCAACCAGCGGAGTTCATCAACCCCTTACTAGAAATGATTGATTGCTTAACCAATGTCTGGCCCTTTCAAAGTTGGCGACATTTGACGTGGGCGGAAGGGTGCAGCGACCTCTGCCATCGAGGAATCAGCTAGCTAGTTTGCGAGTGTGAGAGTTTCACATCTCAAATTTCTCCACCCAAACCCACCGACCAACGGCTTCACCACAAAACACGTGCTCTTCATCCCACGCCCACTACAAGCAAACGGTCGCTCATGACTCATGTCGCAACACATGGATTCCTCCACACGCCATGGCACCGGGGCCGGCGCCCGGGACTCCGCGCGGGACTCTCCCTGCCCCTCGCCGCCGCGGCGCTGGCCGTGCCGGGCGTCACCTTGCTCGGACCAGGAGCCAAACCGGACCTGGACCTGGGACTGCAGATTGGCTGATCAGTTGGGCTGATTGAAAGGGGCTCAGTCATCATTGAGTCATCCTTTTATGAATGGAGTGTCACAGGGATGGAGAGAACAGGGTTCTCCTTTTTGAGGTCTTTTGCAGGAGCTGCTTCAGGATTCGCTTGGATTCTCATTGAATGAGTCGCTTGGACTCTTGGGATCAATTCAATGAGATCAAAAAGACCCCTCGAGAATTTTGGGTGGCCACGCCCTTGTTCGAGTCTGTGGGCCTGTTGAAGATGAGTCTTTTAAAATAGATTTTGGGATGAAACGGAACTGTGGAAGACCACTCTGCCAAAGATAGACCATGGAAGACCACTCTGTTGACATCCATGCGACCCCTTGGCGTTACTCAGTCAAAACATTTGTGTCAACAAATTCGTGTCGGAGTGGAAGACCTTTGGACACTGGGCATGGGATCTACACCAGGACCATCCAAGGGGTGCGCTGTTTGGAAGCCTTTCTATAGGTAGTGTGGGGTAGTCCAGCCAGAACACCCTAACAGGATGGTCCTGGTACGTTTGTGTTGACAGAGAATCTTATAGTAGCTATACCACTGCTACCACCGTCCTTGAGCCAGCTTGAGCGAAGTGTGGCCGACGGGAGTCCCTCCAGGGTCTATCACAACTCTGGAAGAATACAAGCAAAGAAATGCCCTCTTCAGTTGGACCATTGACCTGTTTCTGTGGTCTAAAATCCTTAATAAAACCACATGGTTGTTCGGTAATGGGACAAAACAACTGATGGTGGTTGGAATCCTACAAGGGTGGGTGGGTGACCTGGCGCTTCAACGTCCACATTGGATGGAGCTTGGCGAGTACCGATATATTTATATACCAATAATCCCCGGTCCAGAAAACCGAAATGCCAATGGTCTTTGGAAGTGGAACACCATTGTATTGGAACCCTAGAAAGTGGTCGGACAAAAATAACTGGCACCCTCAAGCTCTACCATAGAAGTCCAGTTTGACTCCACTTTTCCTTATAGTGAGAAGTAAAGACATGCTTCGATCACGTTCCCGGACTCGTCAGACCATTCTTTCGCTCGTCTACTCCCATTCAGCGCCGCGGTTTCCTTCTCCGCTGTTTCGTGCTTCGGTGCTTCGCCGCGGACCGCGCGTCCGGACCCCCGCCACCGGCACCGCGAAGGCGCCGGCGCTGTTCCGGCGGAACGGCAGGCGGAGAAGGCGCCCGGCGCGTGAGGTCGACGGCTCGTGACCGGTCGGGACCGGTGGGGACCGGTGCACCGTCTGGGTTCCGGAGGTTCCAGACGCGAGCTGTTCCATGCGCGTCTGTCTGGATGTTTCAATTCTGTGACCATTTTGTAGAGAGAAATCTGTGGGATTCTCATTGATACATTGATAACTGATTCTGTAGCAGTTTTTATCATCCTTGCAAGACTATACTGCTATACAGTGCACGTGTCAAAGGATTTTCTAGAGATTTGAAGGTGACTCCAGGAATTTTGTAGATGCCAAACCTGTTCTGTTTTTATGATGCTTCATGGTCTTCCCACAATCCACTTGATCATTTTTTTGTGAGAGGATCTCTTGAGCCTGTCAAGATACATAATTCTTGAATCTTTGGACACGTTGATAACTGATTCTGTAGCATTGTTTCTATTCATTAGCTTCCCCAAACTGGGTTTGTGGAAAGCATTTCGTAGAGAACACATGGGCCGGCCATGCCACTTTATAGTGGAAATATGCCCAATTGTTTAGACACTTTTGTACAAAAAGCAGTTCCCACCATGACCATGCCAAGCTTAACGTGGGTGGATAACTTTTAAATGACTGTGAATTATTGAAATATGGTACTGCATGTAACGGCATGTATTGTTTGTCCCGGTTCCGTACGCACCAGATGGTGATCCAACAAGATGAACAGCAGCAGAGACTGTTCGAAGCCTTGAGGAGGTTAATCCGGACTAGTCTTCAGAAGAAGTGCTTCTGTCTGTGGAATCATGTGGAATCGGTCTCTTTCCATCCCATCCAGACGATCCAGAAACACCTCCAGCTCACTTGGTTGACCATGGTGTTCCACCGTTCGCAACTCTTTCCAGCTTTGATCGGGACCAGGCTGATCTCTACATCTGACCCAGAAACCGCCCAAGGGCATTGTGCTCAGTTCTTGTCCCTTTTTGATCCTTTTTGAGGGGATGTTTTTTTGGAGGTTCCCAAAGAGACCCTGAACAAGTTGAGGAAAGACTTTGACTAGAGGTGATTCCCAGTGAGTCCAGGACTTAACACGTGACTTAACACGTTCGGTGGGTGCCGGTGCCAACGATAGTCGAAGTGGACTTTTCAGGGGCATCAAAACATTCATACACGATCATACACGTGTTGTTTGCAAAGACTGATTCATACACGATCAGGTCGTCTTTCAAAGAGGAATCCACATCTTTTTTGCCTATTTTGCTCATCGAAATCTACTAACAACATCATCAAACCAGCATCCTCACTGGCCAGGCCACCAATGGAAAACGGGTTTCCAACTCCCTCTGCTCGACCCAGGACCCGTTCCGCGAGTGCCAGTGGTGGAAACCGAAGACCCGTTCCACCAGTGGACCAAATGTATTCAAATGTTCTGACTATCCAAATGGATCCAATGTATCCCAATGGATCTATGTAGTCTGATGGATCTATGTAGTCTGTTATCCAATGTATCCCTAGATCCGGTGGATCTCTCCATTTTTCACACCCCGGTTGCGAAGGTGAGTCTATATGTATCTCTCTCTCTCTCTATCTATATTCATAGATGTTCCACCTGTGCACCATGCCTTATCATGTTCACCTTTAAAACCCCCATCCCAAATGCAGAACGCCTGCAGTTCGTTGGAAGATCGTCGGACCCAGCACCCTGTCCCAGTGGATCCTCAGCTGGGGATCCACTCGGTTAGGGCCCTGACCGGTTGGACGGTTGGAAGCATCGAGCTCCAGGTCGAGGACGCCTGTCGCAGCTGGGCCGCTCCCCTCACGCCGCTGGGACGCCGGCGGCTGCGGGAAGGCACACCCATGGTGCCACCGAATGGCAGTCGACTCGTGGGCTGGCTCCAAGAAACAACACCGGGGCTTCAGCTTGAGCAGTGTTCAGTCCGATTCTCAGTTTGCTTCATGAGTGCTTTTGCTGCAATTTTGGTTCCATATACTTTTGGAATGTCTAGACCTGCGGCCAGCAGGTCGTAATGACGTCGTAATGCAAACCCCGCAGTTGTCCGCCCGCTCGCCAGGCTTGCTCCGAGCACCTCCACCAAGCTGGGAGGGTTTCCTCTGGCGCTTGGAGCAGCTGAGCGCCTGGACCGTCGAGAGCCGCGGCACCGCGACGGCCCAGCGGCTCTCGGCGCTGCTGGCGCGGCAGCCGGAGGCGCGGGACGTGCCGTTGGGAGGAGACCGGAGGAGACCATCCAATGGGAGTTCAATGGAAGAATGGAAGCCCACAAGGATTGCAATTAGGGTACAACTTCTTCTCAAAACTGTGACCGAAATCTTTGACGCAACTGATTTATCACTGTCGCGAGCGGGCTTGAACCCCCGCAAATCATGCTGATGGTAGCTAAAGTTGTCTCAGCAGACTTACTGCATTTAATGCACTCAAATTCTTGTGGATTTCCTGTGGGTCTCCAGGAGCCTTATACTTCCATGTTGGTTATTGCGCTGTGCCTGCTTTTGCTAGATGAGTGCATTTCCTTTTTCCCCGGAACTGGGTGAATCCATCCCCTTCCTGCGGATTGCTTTTGGCTTCCTGGACAAATCCAAGAACAGTCCAAGTCCAAGTCCAGCGACTAAAGCCCCTTCTTCGGGCTTTGTGCGTTCTGTGGGGCACCTTTGCGCTCCATCTCCGCTTTGGCTCCCCTCCCCACAGCTGTTCACCTCAGAACCGCCCCTGCTCGCGGCCGCAGCCATTCGGCGCCAGCGGAGGTCTTCTCCGATGCGACGGTGCAGCCGCTGTGGGAGGAGGAGGGCCTCGTGGCACTGCACAAGCCTTGGTGCATGCGAGCCGCTTGTGCCCCAAGCAGTGCCGGTGACGGTCGAAGTGGATGATGGTGTTTTGTTGGGAAGACTGGGAAGAGGGACCGCGTTTCGTACATCGCAAGGGATTTCGCTACTGGGTGAGCGCGTTTTTCTTTTTTCAGGTTGGCAGGATTGGAGTGGTTGCCTGGATGGGAAGCAAGTAGTTCAGTATAGCTCAGCGGTTGCTGACCACGTCCAACCACTCTTTCTGGTTCTGCATGACCCCAATCATCATCTTTGCATGATTTCTTCCTTCAACAATATGATCCCTTGGCACCCCTTGGCACATTGGACATGGATATTTAAAAACGGAGCCCACCTGCAAAAAGTGTGTTCTTTAAACAGAGAACTGAACCGCCACTCATCCTGTATCTTCCCCAGAAACCAGACATGATGCACCTCCCCAAAGTCCTTGTGGACCTTACCATGGTTAGGAGCTATAGCATGCTATAGCTGTGTAATATGCCACCAATCTTGCACGGTTCTGCCTGACTTGTTTGGGGCGTCGCGAAGCGTGGCCCGATGCCGCAAGCGGCCGCCGTCACGCCGATGCGGATGCAAGGTCTATCTCCCTCGTGATGCAACCGGGCAGCGCTACAGGAGAGGGGACACGAGTTCGGGGGTTTCAGAGGCCGGTGATGTGGTGATACGAATTAGGTGAGGTAGACTGATGAATCAAAGGTTTTGTTTGAATGGTTTGACATTCCCGATTGAATCAACAGTCTACAGAAGAGTGGAGTTGTCAGTACATGGGCCCCGATGGCAGCTTCTAGGAGACTACGCCCTTTCCGCATTTTGGTGGACGGACAAAAACATGAAAGAAAATAAACATGAAAAACCATCCCAAGCTGGAGTTTCTGAGTATTAATATCAACTTCGACCTAAACAGAACCTTGGCAGGGACAATCTCCAACCCCCCATCCCCTATAGGTTCACAAGCGTCGTGTGCCATGCCGAAGTACGTACTCCATAAAGATCGCTTCTTCGTTTGGACTGCGTCAGCTGCAGGACTTGGCCCCAGGAGCTGACAGTGCATGACTGGCTCATGGAGAGGCTGACGAGTGACTCTGACCCGTTTGGGCTCCTGGCCCACCTCCTGAGGTTCTTTGGTTGGGGTAGGTTTTGGGGGTCTAACTACCTGCCGAGGATGTGGTAGGAGCCCTAAAAGGGACCCGTGGAGAGAAGAGAGGAGAAGAGACACGTCAGGAATGTTCACTCTCGACTCGTCGTCGGACGGTTGGATCATGACCGAAGAAGAGATGTAGGATATCATCCCGAAAAAAGAAAAAAATCAAGGAATTCGTGTGAGGAAACGTCATCCAAGGTCGAGTTGTTTTCACGATGCAGCGAGGATTGTCCCTAACTGCGACGAAGGTTCACATGCAAGAAGAAAGAACATGCTTCCCAAGGGTTTTTCTTCTACGAGAAGCTGGAGATCGGCATCTCTCTCCAGCACCATGGGCACCCACACCCACCCTGACCCTTGACGTAAATCCATTTCTCTCCATGGGACGGGAGTGCTTGAGATGTGGCTTTGACTGGGGGGTCCAAACGTGAAGCCCAGAACCAGTCCACCATGTATACAACGACCGATCAACAGTTCCTGGGATGGTCAACAGGTCCACCAAGTTCGACCCCGGATGCGATGTAGCTCAGCTTATATTCATACTTAATCATACTTATTCATACCAGGATCATCCTGTCTGGGTGTCCTGGCGTTCGACTACCCTACCCTACGTAAACAGGTCTCCAGACAGGGCACCCAGTAAGGAAGTGCTGGGTACTTATTCCAGTTCATTCGCCACCTGGCTTCTTCCGTTCAGACCCCCTTGGTTCCGCCCCACTTGCCGACACCTGACCTCGGTCCGTCCGTGCAGCGAGTGTCGTTCGCCGCGCACAACCCAGCCGATCCCGGGACGTCCGATGTAGACCCGGATGGAGTCGCTGCTCCCAGCGGGATGATTTTCTCCTCACCACCAGGTCATCCACAACACAGGGCCCTTCCCAAGCCTCGAACACGGAGACGAGTTGGAGGATGCGGGTGGAAGTCCAGGCACAACTCATTTGACCAGCATAACAGGTGGTGGATCATGACTACCTCCAGGTAGGGGGCATAGGAGTCAACTCCCGGAAGTTCTGGCAACAGAGATTCTGCAGTTCCCAGGACTCCAAGGTCTTTCGGTTTGCTCAGGTTCACCACCACCTTGCTGGGCTTCCGCAAACCGCCTGAGTTGGGCCTGTTGGAGCGTCCACCCACCTCAGACCCTCTGAAGGCTTTGCACATGGACCCATCGCCCATCATGGCCCATCCGACCAGAAGACTTAGTGGAAGAACGGAGGCTTCTCTCCTTTTGCATAGGCTCCCCAGATAGGGCATGATAGGGCGATAGGCGATAGGGCCGTTCCAACCAACCAAAAGCACCCAAAACACCCGCAGCCCGATGACGCGCGATGTTCTGCTGGTTGCCTGGTCAGGTACCCAGCCCAGCGGCCTCGCATGTGCAATCGCCTGGACTTTGCCACCAGCGGTCTCATGCCGCTTCGGCCCACCCATCATGGGGCGCCGCGCGCGTTGTCGCGCGGAGGAAGGGGGCGAAGCCGCTTTTTTCAGCCGAGGCTGTGTGGGAGCCAGAAGGAAAGTGGCAGAATTGACCATCCACAAGATGGAGGGGAAATCAGGAAGTGAGCAGTTTTTCCAGGAGCCCCCACCCTCCAATATAGGCACCGACTCTGGCAACTGGATGAAGTAAGTTCATGTTTTTCTTGTCTTTTATTTTTGGTGGAGTCATTTCAATGCCACGTTCCACGCCCTGAGCGATGTGCGGTTTCATGTTTTTCCCATGGACCGACTGAGACCTTCGGGCCGACGTACCGACCGTACCGGCTGGAGACGTACCGACTCGACCTGCCGCACCGAGTGGTGTGGCCTGGTCTGGCTGGGGTGCTGCCAGTCAACGTACGTGCTATAAACCAAGACCTTCCAACAGCCCGACACCCTGCCCTAGAGGGTCCTGGATTTCAGGGAGCTGCACTCCCTGAAACCATCATGGAAGTCAACAAGCACCCGTGTTTGGTAATCGGATTTCATGGTCATCTTTCCGGCGCCATGGTCAGTGTTTTTAAAACCAACACCACCCAGTCCTGCGGCGCTTACACACCCTAATGTGTCGGTGTGTTTACTCCAAATCACCATCCTTTGAGGTGGTGGTATGGGGAACCTGAATTTGGGGAACATGACCTTTTCTCATTACAGTGGTTTCAGAATGGCACAAACATGCACGTACAACCCCCAGGTGGCTTTTTTGTTCTGGGCCGGTGTCCATAGAACGTCCTTCCCGAGGACCAAGCTGTGGCAAGACACCGTCACACTGGCGCAGCTTAGGCTTCCCGACCTTCCACGGTTCAGAAGTCCTCTGTCAACCCAGCCACCCAGGCCCTCCCAAAGTGACCAAGCAGACACCGTCTCACTGGCCAGAGCAGCTGAGGCTTCCCGACCTTCCGATTCCACGGTTCAGAAGTCCTCTGTCAAGGACCCAGCCACCCAGGCCCTCCCAAGTCTCGTTCCATCAATCTCCGCCTCCAAGGCTCGTGGCGTTGAGCTCCTCTGCCGCGAAGGCCGTGCGAGAACTCTTCACCCGGCAGCAGGCGCAGCAGGGGCAAATGGAACACGGTTCACTGGGTCAGTTGGAGCGGTGAGTGATTCAGGTGTTGCCCAGAAAAGGAGGAATAATGATGTTTGATAGACAATCCATCCAATACATTATAATACACCAACACATCCAAACACTTCATATGCTGATATATGCTGTATATGATGGAATAGATGCTGTATAGGCAAACATGGCTATACATGAAGTGTTTGCGTTTGATTTGTGTGTTCGTTGTTGAACTTTCCTACCAGGATCTCCTCGGTAGCAGAGAACATCAGGGATTTGTCGTCTGTCAAAACTATCACACCCTCCCTTCAAGTCCAAAGACCCTTTTGGTGCGTGCCTCCCCGGCCTGCTTACATCTCCCCACATGTTTCTTCTGAAGAACAACAAGCGACCAATAGCGATTCGCGATGTTGGGGGTGCATTTGAGGTGATCATGAGACCATGGATTTGGTGCACCCATCGCCTCGCGGCCCTCGGCACCGCTCGCTCTCCCTTCGCTCGCTCGGCTTGGTCCTGCCAGGTGCAGAAGACCTACCAAGCGTCACTTGGGCTGAATCGAAGCGTGGGCCGGAAACTGGCCGTTCCCGAAGGTCCTAATTCCCGAAGATCACCATGAGGAAAGACCAGATATCAGACCAGCTCCATCGCTCCATCAGAAAAGCAAAGTCTATACAGTCAACCCTTTGGTTTGAATTTGTGTTCCTCTTGCTTTGGATGTATGGCGGATTTGTTTCTCCGCGGCCATGCCATGGTCATGTCGCTTTTGCTGACCTCCAGTGCCTATGGGCCTATAAGGGATGTTCACCACGCAGTGAGGCCCCATCCAATCTACGCATCGAATTCTCGCGGTTGATCGACCTCAGACTTGCCCAAGATCATCCATCTGGGTATCCTGCTTTGAAGGTCCATTTAACATGTCTTCTTGGCCATTGGCAGGGTAGCCTATTTGGTGACCCATTTGGATGATCCAAGTGCCAGGAGTTGGAATGATGTAGTGTTTACACATGTTTACACCTCAATGAAGTGGCACCCCACGGACGCCAATCGGATCAGCACGACAAAGAAAGCAACAAACGATACACGACACGACTCACGTTCCATGGAAGACTGAAAAAGGACCCAAAGATCCTGCACTACCTCTCAGTCGCACTTCGGGTTCTTCGACCTCTAGCAGATGAGGCTGGTTCTGGGCTCTCCGCCTCCTTCCTGGGACACACCGTCCATCTTGGATGCTCCGCTGGCCGACGCGCCGCGCGGCGCGGTGGGGCTGCCGCGCCGGGCGGTGGGGCCGGGCGGCGGCCAGGCAGCCGAGACGCGGGTGCGGGTGCGGCAGCGGGGTTGGTGGCCGAAGGCAGGCCCTCAACTCGAGCACGGCCAGTTGCGCGAAACTCGGGGCAGGGGGGCGCAGGGGTCGCAGGATTTCATGGGATGTTGCTTGTAGGGTAGGAATGAACGGCGAGAGAGCGGGAGGATGGCGGAATGTTGGAGTTGGCCTGTGAGATCTTAGATGATGTAACATGTGCCCTGAGCCTCCAAGGGGTGCCTATAAATGGCCTCTTAGGGGTTCAAGGTTGTCCAAAAACCACTTGTTGAAAGGTGACTGTGACTTCGTACATTAAGCCCGGCCTTGAGACAGTGACACACGTGTTCCTCCTTGCCGAAGGAACACGTCCCCGAAGCCGCCACCCACCGTCCCGCCCCATGGGGAGGCCTTGCCACCAGATGGCCTCGCAGAGACGGCCACCGCGCCGGCGGAGGGTGGGGCCCCCGCGCCCGTGCTGCGGCGGAGACGCCTGGCGGCGGCGCTGATCGAAGCGGAGCCACGGACAGGGCGGAGGCGGGAGCCGGGCGGTTCGGGCGAGAGCGTTCGGGGCGAGGCGAGGAGCTTGGATTTGGAATGATTTGGATGTGTACTTGGATGCACTGCCAAGAGAGGCCTCCAAACAATTTAGGGGTTTGGGATCGTTTTGGTTATTTTGGGTTGATTGGTTTCCCGAAGTGCAGCCAAATCAAGGGGGTCTCCGAGGACCTGCGGATGGACCAGTGGAATGGTGACAGAGAACATCCTCCGAGGTCTCTTTTGGACGGCTGACGGCTTAGGTCAAGCGATTTGTCATTCATGCGTCGAACTCTTTCTGTGCTGTTCATGTCGCTGGTTTCTCCTGTGCGTTGGTTCTTCTAAAGAGCATGCTGATTTGGGGGTCAGCTTCTTCCAGTGCTGAAGAGGGGCTGGCGATGGACATTCCATGGAAGGCACCGTGCCTTTTTGAGGTCTGGTTGCAAGGAAGAAACTTACCCATGATGAACATTCTGCCCCTGAAGTGGTGGATTATGACTTCTAGGTGGAGTTAAAATTAGTCTTTGGAAGTTCTGGGTCGTATAGACACTTCAATTCATCTCTGACACTGAACACCCTCCCAAACATCATCTAACACCATCTGAGCCTAGCGTCCCTACCTACCACCCTCCCCAACCCCAACCCCCCAAGAAGACATGGCGTTGGGTCAAAAACAGAGGGACCCTGGTTATTCCCACCACGCAATGAAACTAAAAGAGATCCACCGACATGGTCAAGCCACCAGGGCTTTGAGCTCCAGGGATTTGACCCTCCAAGAACACATACACACACACACACATCTGCCCTGTAACAAGACCCAGCTATGAGGTTGGAGGCCATCGCTATGAGCTTGGAGGCCCATCACTGTTAGGTTGCAGACGCTGTTAGTGGTGGAGGCCATCGCCACCGGAGTGGCCCCGCACCGTCCAGGCACCAGATCCGCGTCCACCTCGCCTCCGAGCAGCTGCCCATTTTGGGCGACGACAGCTACGGCGGCCAGCCCTGGGGGCAGCGCGGCGACGTGCACCGGAGCGCGGAGGGGTCCAGAGGGGGGTGGAGAGGTATTGGGAAGGGTGGATCTCGTGATGGATATATGTCAAGATGTCAAGTCCCCACAGGAAGAGGCTCCCCACAATTCCATGTCTCGAAAACCCAGAGGTCTCCACTGATGCTCGCCAAAAAGCCTGACACCGAGACAATACAATCCTTGCAAACCTTGTGTGGGCGCGCATCGTCCAACTGTAAGGGACGCTAGCATGCGCTAGCCTCTTACGTGCCTTTTTTGTGGTCCGCCCCAGGGTGAGTGTTTGCATATGTCCAGTCAACTGAGTTGCTACCTGCCGCTGGCTTGTATTTTCAGGTTGGACCCTCGCTTACACTTTTGCCGTGGTCCCTGCACGTGTTGGGATGTGGGGGTGCTACATGGTGCTACCAGACATGTTCCTCAAATACGCACATGTGCTGCATGAATTGGTACTTGCGCCAGTAATGCAACGCGCAAATCAAACCCTTGCTGTGATAAGCCTAAAAATCGAAAAAGGAGACGCAGGAAAGAGGATGAGGAGAAGGACAAGCAAAGCAGGTGGGGTACCCCAGGAGCCTATATGCTTGGAAGCCACCTGACAGGATGTTCCTTTTCCCACCAAAGGCTTGGAGAGCTTCAGCGGTGATTCAGAGTCCGTGAGCTTTGGTGTTCGCTTGTGCATCTGGTTTGGAAACCAATTACAAGAGCCTTTGGAATCACAACTAGGCGGAGTAGTTCGAACTTTTTCGACTCGGTGGACGCCAGGCGAGAAAGGAATGTCGTTCGAGACATACAGGATTCCTCATGTTTTCACGCCGACTTGAAACATATGAAACTTGGGCTGATAGTTTCTCATAGACCCTGTGAACAGATGGTTGTAGGCGATCGCGGCGGAGTCCATGCAATAAAAGTGAGACGCGAGTGCAGCTAATGGAGCAAACAAATCAGAACTTCCATGAGTTTCCCCATCGATACTTGGAAGGATGGTTTTTCTTCCCAGTTCTCTCTAGCAACATGTACCCCCCCCCTTTCGGGTTGCCATGCGGCCAGCCTCGCCAGGATGTATTTGCACTCCTGGCGCGTGCGCCTGCCGTGGATGGATCAAAGTCATCTCATCGAGGACCCCATGGACTGGAGCCAGCAGCTGGCAAACCATGCCGCAGACCACGGAGATGACACCATTCAAACAGCATGGTCTAAAAGGAAGAAAACGGCCCATGCGTGAGGGTAGCTGCGAGAGTCTTGGATGAGAGTCTGGATGATATCAAATCAAATCCCCACCTCATGATGATGATGAACTCCCCAAAAAGACATAGTGAGTCGAGGGAGAGCCATCTCAAGTGGTGAGAGCCATCCCTTTCCGATAGGCCCTATAGGCTTGAATGGATGCACTGTGTGTGTTTTGTAATGTTTTTCATCCCTGAAAGTGTTGATGACATTGAGACCGGTTCCACCAGTTGCAGTGGCAGCGGTCCAAGACCTCCAGCGATACATAATGTGACGAAGGATTTGTTGCTTGGGGAAGAGCAGTTTGTGGCTCCCATGTTTACATGTTTCAACTGCACTCAAGACTCTTCCAGGCAATCATTGGACATACACTCCCTGGAACTAACATGGAAGTGGAGAATGGCCCCGAGTTCGGAAGACCATGAAATCCACGAACCAAACAGGTGGTGAACTCCACGTAACCATGTTAGTTCCAGGGAGAGTATATCTAATAGCGGTCTGTGCTTCCAACCCTTCTGGCCCTTTCAGCCTTCACCAACGTGCCACGACACTACGACGGACACCGAGACCGGGCGGAACTCGGTTGGTTCCGGGGAACTCGGAGGGAGCCGGGGGTACCCTGCAACTGCGAGGCGACACCAGCGACACTGCGAGGCACCAAAACCCCGCCCACCCCGCGGAGTGGAGCCAACCGCGCGAGGCTTAAAGAGCCTCCCATAGCACCGAGGCATGCGAGCGAGAACCCCAAGCTGCCAGCCAAGTTGAAGGTGTGGTCAATCGAGTTTGTGCTGGAGCTGGGCTGACAATTGCTGTAGCCAATTTGAGACCTTTGATCTTGGACTCCACGTTAAACAGGGAAGTCTGGGTCTGAGCAGACAATTCGGATCTTGATGTTCATCAAATTTGGCTGAAACCCTTATATCAGGTGTGTGTGTGTGTGTGCGTGCTTTTTCTTTACAACAGTTTCAAATACAGCTGCTGAACTTATCCCTAAGGCTCTAAGGGTCCACAAAAATCCGAATCGGATGTCCTTTTTGCTGGAAGTATGTGACCATCCAAAAAGGAGATACCCGAACGCCTATGGGAAAGGGCACAGGTCAATTTGGGTGTTTGTGTGATAACTGTGTTGTCCTCCCTTACAGTCTGGACTGGCTTGCAGTCTGAATGAGACGATGGATCGGGTGTGTCCCAGTAGACTAATTAGTAAAGCCGTCAGTAAATGATGAGCACTATGTTTAGCCATGTCGGCTTGCAACCTGACCATCATCATCCATCCACTGGGTTTGGGTGATTCCCCCTTCGTAAGGATTCTGGTTCTTCATGGACTCTTGGATTGGCCATCCCAGGAAGTATACGGGATGATCGGCATGCGGCATAACCTACAAGTCGTGTTATTTTTGTTTGATTGATTTCTCCACTCAACAAAGAATAGGTGGAAGAGTTCAGTTAACCTCTAGTTCTTCTGGGACTTCTAGCGTCGGAGGCAGACTTTTTTTTCATTTTTGTTTTCGTGACCTTACACGCGGCAGATCGACCCGGGTCATGCACTTCCACATGATATCACCTGATACCAGCAGTCACAAAGGGGTGCCTATTGGAGGATAGGGGTGCCCATTGTCCACTCACTTAGGGACTAAAAACCACCCCTTTGTGACTCCTGATAAAACCTTTCACGATTGTGATTTTTGTTCTTGCACCATCTGGCATTCCAACTCGACTGGCAATTAAATCGTCAAAACAAATCACTCATCCAATCTATTCTACGAAGTTGCTTCAAGACTTCTTCAAGGGGTGAAGCATATTTTAAGCATTTGTAAGCATTGCAGCATTGATCTATATGGAACACAAAACAATTCCTCTCCATCTCTGCGCCGCAGGAGCTCGGGATCACCTTCATCGGCCCCCCTTCTGGCGTGATGGCGGCGTTTCTTGGGCGCTTTTTCCGGCGACGGAACGGCTACGCTTCGACCGTGGCGGTGGATGTGCAGTGGATGACATGGGTGTGACATTGTTTTTCCCAGGTGTTAGGAAGGAAAAACACGAAGATCCGAACCATCTTGCAAAGCTGAGAAGATATGGTTTACACAGAGAGCATTTGAAAGAGCGGCTCGAGAAGGTGGGGAGCTGAGATCGAGATGGCTGCGGGTTGTGGTTGTTGTTGACTGCTGGTGCCTGGAGGCGAAATGCCAAGTGGACATGCTTGCAAGATCTTGCAAGTGTCTTCAAGTAGTTGCCAGTTTACTACTTCATCCACAGGTCCGCTCCAAATCGGCCTTTCGAACAGAAAGCACCTTTGTTCATATTTGGTGTTTCATCCTCCACACTGCTTGTTTGCTTATAACATGAACATGTGTTTTCCTTATAACATGGCCTAACTCAGGTCAGTTTATAAACACAACATGTGCGCTTTGCCTGCCACGAAATCTGCACTTCGAGGTTCACAAAGTGCTGCGCCAGCCACGAAATCTGCGCTTCAAGGTCCACAAAGTACTGCGCCTGCTACGAAATCTGCAAACGAGCCACATGTCCAAAAGTCACGATTCACTGCACCTGTGACGAAATCAGAGCGCCTCGAAGATCACACCACCAAAAGTGCTGTTAGGTTGCCACGAAATCTGCATGTCGAAGTAAAACCGCATGAATGTTCTCTAAATAGCAACGAAGTAGCCGGACCCGACCACGCAACACACTCGATCTAACACCGGTGCTTCTTTCCCTACCGGTGCTGAACCCCGTATGTGTGTCCACACTGCTTGGGGAAGAATAAAGAAACATCCTTTTAGATCACACCTATTCACTTTATAGCCACAATCCTTTTATAACATGAAACATGTTACCGCCAAGGCACAAGTAAGGGGGATGGTTTTTCCATGTGCTCACTGGAAACGAAACGTAAGTAACGGCTGCACGTAAGCAGTAGCCCGTCAGAAAGATCAGACAGTGATGGGCAGAGGTTTCTTTCCAACCTTTTGGATCATTCTTCCAACCTTTTGGTGGATCCCACGTTCCAACCACCCCACATTTCCCACGCCCAGTCTGCCCACATACTGGGCTGACGTGCTCCGCCCGTGCCGAGGTTGGGCGACAAGATTGCGGCCAACATCTTGGCGCAAACGGCCAAGGCCTCTGTGCGGGCAGCGCGTTCCAAACACCCGTCCACCTGCCGTCCAAGAGGGCCTCGGGGGGGTGGAAGGGAGATCGCATGGAATGGGGGAAGACGGCACCCAAAGGAACGAGAAGCCGAACTCGCATGAAAGAGACCATTTTAGAATGACGTCCCCTGGTCTCATTCCTCTGGGCTTGGCATTTTTCGACCAGCCAGGGGACGGTACTCGGGCCGTATACTTGGCGACGAAGTGGGTTCGTCCTCGATCTAGACTTCGAGACAGCCACCGGGTGTGATGGCCTGGTGGAAGGCCTTGACATGGATTCCATGTCGGACGGTCCAAGTGGCCGAAACCGTTGATGCATGACTTTCTCCAGGTACCAGGTGCTTGCAGGGTAGTACGACAGCAGGTTGATGGTAGTGGGCAGTGATATGCAGTGATGCAGAACAACTGAGATGGGGTGAGTTACAACTGAGATGGGTTTGGTTTCACCTTTTTGGAGGAGCAAGAAGCTACTAAGTTACTGGTACGCAACAAACACTGGTCACACATCTCCCAGCCTATCCAGCCTATCGGGGGATTTCATGAATCAACAGTTTACATTATTCTGTTTAGAAGTCTACTCTACTAGTAACAAGGTGCATCGCTACTAGTAACAAGGGCATTATTACTAGTAACAAGAAGCTACTAGTAGCAAAGGGCATTACTAGTAGTAGCTAAAGGTAGCTACTACCTACACGTAACTTGGGTCAGTGATCTAAATCACCTTTTGGGATTGCGCCATGTACTCTCCATCCGCCCAAGTTGACTGTTGATGAACAGAGACCCTGCCTGGAGGTGTTTAACTCATCAACAGTCAACCTTAATATGAATTATCGCACTAAGATGAGTCTATCCACTGCATGAGTGCAGTAAAAACAAAAAACTATACCATCTAATCCCAACGCACGAGCTTTAGAAACCCTCCAAAACCCGAGCTGTTTACATATCCGTGTCTTCTTGGGGCACCGGTGCCCTGCCACCTGCCAGGTGCCCAGCATTCCCTGGTCTGGCGACGGCCTCACGTGCGAGCTCACTGCAGACGGCGAGGTGCCGGACGAGGTGCATGGCGCCGTTCGTCGACTCCAACGAGCAAAGAGGTTGTTTTTTGGGTTGCCGGTGGTGGAGTCAAATCGAAAGTCCTTTATAATCCTTTATAAAGAACATGTTATATATAATTTACACTGTATTTTATTGTAATCTATATAAATATAGTACATATACATATACTGTATATATATATACATATACTGTATATATATATATATATGGTACCCCCCCTCCCCAAAAAAAAAACTAGGTTCACCTCACTTTTGCTGGTATTTGCAATATTTCGTGTCTATTTTTGGAGGCCTTTTGGACCTTGGTTTTTGGGGTACCATATATATATATTGTGCAGGTACGTTACATATAACTTGTTTGTCCAGAGATTCTAAATTCCGGCATGTTAAATAACTTTGGAAGGAATGCATTCTGAATGCATTCAATGCATTCAGAATGCATACTTGTTCAAAACCAAGATCCAAGATCCAAGATTCCCACAAGATTCCTTGCTAAAATCTTGGATTGATACAGTGATAAGGATGTTCTGGCAAATCCCAAATCCAAGATTTTCCACAAGACTTCTGTGCAAATCTTGGATCTTGGTTTTGGGAAGGAATGCATTCTCTGGCATTCTCTGGTAGTGACAAAGTTGCACTAAGTACATTCTGGTCTTCAATCTGTCATCTGGTAAGATTATCCAAGCATCATTCCGAGGAATTATCACTGACAATATCTGCTTGTGAGCGCGAAAGGCTCAAAAACAAATCTTGTCTTGTCT